TATGACAGCAATGCTTGATCAACGAATCAATGAAACGAAGTCGACTTCAGATGCATTTGAAGGCTAAATATGGTGCTCATATTAATTCAGATTTGAGTGATTTTCAAAGCTTAAAGAAATTTTTTGAAAAAAGAACAACATTAAAGTCTCTATTTACTGCTCGTAGTGCAACTAATAATCGTCTTAATGAGGCTAGTTATCAAATTTCCTTATTAATTGCTAAAACTGATTAGGAAAGAATTTGATAAAACCGTCATCATCGGTATTTCTTAAAACCGACCTGGAAAAAGATGACAAAATATTGAAAAGCCATGACACTCAGTAACAATACTCTTAGCAGAAGAATAGACGAAATAAACGAAGATATTGAAAGACAACTTGTTGAAAAGCTGAAAACAAGAAAATTCTTAGTGCAAATGAGGCAGTATCGATAACTTATGTAAGATATATTGATAAAGGGCATTATGCTGCAAATGGCGCCCCTAACATGATGGGCAAGAAAAATGGCTGAAAGATGCGAATCCAGAAATGATTCTTGTGCAATAAAGTGTGCTAATGCCATTAAAGCTAGTGCCAAATGTGAGCGTCTTTTCAAGTTATTTTATGAAGAGCAAAATGAAGACCATGTGAGACTTTTACTTCATACTAAAGTAAGGTGGCTATCTAAAGGAAACTGCTTGAAAAAATTTATGGAACTGTTGGATACTCTTAGTGATTTTTTCGGCGAGAAAGCTGAAATGAAGTATCTGTTAACAATCGATGGTAAAGCAATTGTAAGTTAATAGACCGATATATTTCAAAAACTAAATCTATTAAATAAGCAACTTCAAGGAATAAATAAAACACTTTTCGACGCAAGGGCAAAGATATTTGGTTTCATTACCAATATAGAGTTATATCAGAAGCATATTAACAACAAAAACTTTGAACAGTTTCATTGGCTCAAAAAATATGAAGTAACTGATACCACTTTTTTTGCCAATTATTTAAATATTCTATACGCTGATTTAAAAGAAAGATTTTCTTATTTAAAACAAATTCATTTTCCAACATGGATGATAATGAAGGATCGATGGGAAGAAACTTTAACTAAATACCCAAATGCAACCAAAAATGCAAGACAACTTTTACTACCTTTTCTATCTTCATGTTTAGCCGAGTGTTGATTTAGTGATGTAAATGATTTACTTATAAAAAAAATCGACTAGACATAACACAATTTAGAGACTTGAAATTAAAGCTAACTAAATTGGAACCTAAGATAAAATCTCTGTTCACAAGCATCAAGGGCAAGAATTGCAATAATATAGAAAACCTGTATTAAAATTATTTTCAATTTGAATTTCACCTTTTTATTACATGTTTTCAAATATTATTTACTGCTTTTGATAGCAATTTCATAGTTATATCTTCATAAAATCTGTCATTTAGGTTTCTTCAAATCATTTTTCAATGTTAAAAATTATGTATGTGGAGCGTAAAATGTTAGAAATGTTACAGTGGGGCATGATACAAAAAAAGTTGGGAAACCCTGATAAGGCAAAGATAAACCCAAATCTCTATGACTGCATAAAGGAGGAGCAATAATAATCGATGGGCGGAAGATATCGCGGCGTCAAACTCGAGCAGATGCGCGTGTGTGTACAAATTTAAGCCGTTTTTGATAAAAAAGGCTCAATAAAAAATTAATTATTGGTAGTCGGTTGGAGAATTAATCCGGACACATCTACATAATTATCAAATTATTCATATGTAATTAAGATAAATAAGAATTAATTATTTGTTGTTTTGACTTCGATATTCGTCAACCGGTTCCGTATGAGGACTTTTTGTCTTGGACGGCAGGTGGATTGGCTTGTAAACCGACGCGGCGTCTAGGATTTACAAAAAAATATGTAATCTTCCAATTTAACCCGCTTAGAGCCAGCCTGTGGGTTCATGTTTTGATAAAAAAAAAAAACACAATTCTGTTTAAGACTAAGGACCTGACGATTTTGTTTATAATTCTGATCCCTCCATTAACTCACTAGCAAATAAATCTGCGGGCTAAACGCGATTTGCAAATTTTAACATTTGTAGTATAAAGTAACCAGAACAATAAAATTTGAAGTTGAAAATGTATAATACATATATTTATTTATTTTAATGAGTAATTTCTAAGTTTTTTTTTTGTCTAAACGCACGGTGAACAGGCCATCAGCGAGGTGACATGGTTCGCATCTGAAACTAAAAAAATATCCTGAGTACCAAAGATTATTAAGATTCATGAAGCAAACTTAATATTACATAATATCACCAGACATCACAGATAACAGATATATCTTGCATAAAATCTGGAATTGATTTTAGATTGGTACTAGGGGAAGGACACACATAGTACCTATTTCAATCACTAGTGCTGGTTATTCCGATCGTGCAATGGATACTAAGGGCAGAGACACGCGAAGTATCCTGTCGCAAATAGTCACACCGGCACTGAAGGACAGAGACACGCGACAGTGCAATAAACAACAGATCATAATATACTGAAGGGCAGAGACACGCATCAGTATATTGGTACTAAGGGCAGAGACACGCATAGTACCTTTTTCATTCATTAGTGCTGATTATTCCGATCGTGCAATGGATACTAAGGGCAGAGACACGCGAAGTATCCTGTCGCAAATATCCACACCGGCACTGAAGGACAGAGACCCGCGACAGTGCAATAAACAACAGATCATAATATACTGAAAGGCAGAGACAGGCATCAGTATATTGGTACTAAGGGCAGAGACATGCATAGTACCTCTTTCATTCACTAGTGCTGATTATTCCGATCGTACAATGGATACACGCGAAGTATCCTGTCGCAAATAATCTCACCGGCACTGAAGGCCAGAGACACGCGACAGTGCAATAAACAACAATATTCTGAAGAAATGCGTTTTTTTTTAAGAAAACATCTAGCTCACATCTGGTTGCTTATTGCGTCGTACGTACTAAGCACCAAACATTTAGTATGAAATGTCGGTTGCCCTATTGGATCAACCGCTTTATTAAAAGTAATTGAAAGCTATGGTAAAACTGCAAAGGACTCCGAATTATTCCATAATTTACCCAAATATGCTTCAATTATATATTTTCTTATATTACGTATCATGTAAATGTATTTATGTATTTAAAATTACTAATTATCGCCATAAAATAAAGATAAACATAACATAAATAACATTTTAAAAGGAAAATCGCTGTGCATAACCTTATTATACTAAAACACAGAAGTATTTTTAGCTAAGGAAGGAAGGTATTGCTAGTAATAGAGCAGTGTGCAGTTTGTCTCATTTTTGATAGTACAACCAAAAATGTCATCATTTTTAGACACCTTTTATAGTTCGATAATGCATTAACTTATCGAAATTTTGAAAGCAGATCTGTATAGGACTTTTGACATAGGATCCAGTTGCGTAATTAATTTTCTTTGAATGGCATATTTCAATTGCAAAACTTATATCTTTAATTTATTTTTTTAAGATTGTGCGCGTCCCTAATATGACAATTATTGGAATGTTTAATTTTTTGGTAGGTAACTAACTTTTTGTAATAAATTGAAATCCAATAAGTTGCTTTAATCAGATAGACTGACAAGTATTATTACTTTTGAATGAATGACCAAAATATATTTTTGAATGATTTCTGAATTCGATTATAGTAGCTCAACATGCTGTAAGCACCGTTTTTTCTTCTTTCATATTCGTTTACGATTTCTGCCAAGACTGCTGATGTCTATCAATTATGATTGTAATAATTTATTTAAAAAAAGTTCTATTTAATATGTGTACAACCATGTAGAGAAAGCAAAAATCAGAACACTATACCGAAGATATTTGCTAGAGTCAATTTAAGACGGTTGCTGCCATCTATTGGACAATTCTCCAACAGCGGCCGAAATGAATAGAGCTTCCTTGTAAAACTTTGGGCACTTGTCTCAAAGATGGCGAGGTTGAAATAACGACTTTTAAAAATCATCTAGTCCATCTTAGAAAAGAAATGGTCCGCAAATGACAACCAAAGTGTGAGTTTTATGCTTCGTCCTTAAATAGCATTCATAATAAATTTAGTCTTAATATGAGTTTAGAGCTTATTTTATACACAAATGAAGTGTTGCCTATTCGCTAATTAATTTTGAAAATTTCCCTCTATTGCCAGCAACGACAAAAGCGATGGGATATCGTTTTGGCTGACATTTAACTTATTTATAGAAGATGTTGGCTAAAATCCCATTCGTAAAATGAAAGGAGTAAATTCTAACACTGGTTTACAATGCATTTTTTTTATATCCTTAAATACTGGCAATTGGGCAACTCTCAAACTTACCAAAAAAAAAAATCTGTAGTGAGCATTGAACATGGCGGTTTGACTCGCTCCCAACACAGTCCTTTGTAATCGTAGCAAAAAACTTGATATCAGTTTCAAATGTATGGATTTAGTTTCCGTAAGTGTTTAGTGAAAGTTTTTTAAAGTATGTAATCGTTGTCGGCCCCGCTGTTTTTCTCTTCCACGCCGGTTGAAGGCGAAAGCGAGGGAGGCCGTTCTTTGCTATCGGTCAAAGTACTTTTTTTTGAAAACCCATTAAGTTGTGGAGGATGATGGAATGGTCCAGACCCTTCTTTTGCGAAGGCATCCTTTAGAACCTTAGACCTTATTATTATTGTTGTGGCCGTTAGAAGTAAAAGAAGAAGAATAACTAAAAAAAAATCGCATCAATTTGTTCTTTTCCATTTGGTAGTTCGTACAAAACTATTAAAACAAAACAGCCAGTAGACGCACAGAGTTTCTGTTCAAAGTTTGCAATATCTTAACTTCATTATGTCAATATTTTATTCATTCTGTTTCACTTTTTTATCTTATGCTTATCCTTGTTTCTTCCCCTTTTGTATATACTATATTGGATAGTGGATTTATTTATATTTTAACGTCGCACAATTCTGAAACAATACACACAAAACATATCTCAAAATTTTTATTTCAAACATCTCAAAATATACAATATAAAATTAAATAATTTTTCCGAATTATGTATAAATATGTACATGACTAGCAAAAATATACAAACATTCATTTAACAAATCAGTCTACAAGATTCTATGATAGCGTTTATGAAACTAAAATATACAGAAGTGCTGCCATCTACAAATTATATTTACACCGACAACCATATTAAAAAAATAAGCTATTTGCGTTGTAACATATTTGAAATTTTCCTACTGAGTGAGAAGCAAATTTTGGCTAATTTGTAACTGCATAAAAAAAACATGTTGAGGTAGATTACAGCATTCATGGAACAATGTCCAACTGTCAATTAAAACGGCTGCCAGTACTAGCCGCCATAACATTCCATCTCACTTAAATTGTAGGAAAAACGATGAAAATCGTAGCCAAATGCCCTTCTTCGATAATAACACAGATAAGTAACCACTATAACAGTATAGTCTTAATTTCTGGAGTACATTGCAGCGCATAACCTCAACTGGAAGTCTTTGTAAAGCAGTTTGCCACCTAAAGGCACTCGGGACAGGAACATACCGGGCGACATCAAACACAAAGCTTTTCCGTTCATAAGGAACCTCGAAGAAGGTACGTCTGGTAATCCATGAACTGTGGTTATGTGCCTCAACCATTGCAATACGTGTTCTCTGGTCCACTGTCTGGGATCTATAACAAAAACCAAAGATATAAAGAATACAATCGGAATATTGGTTAGTTGCGACAGTTTTATTTGTTAATTGGTAGAAAACCAAACAATCAAATATATTTTCTGAGGCTTGAAAAAAGGGAAGATCAACAATAGACTATTCTTCAAAATTTTTTTGTAAATTATCTGACTCTTCCAGCTTTCCCTGATTAGAAAAAAACTCGATTTTAAAAGCAAAAAGAATAATACACTGAAACTGCCTTCGAATACTAGGGTATCAAGCGAGGCCACAATTTGGCTCATTTTTCTATGGTAAAATTATATATAGTCATAGTAAGTTATAGCAATATTTTATCTTTTTTAATAAATATTGCTACTAATAGTTCTAAAATACGTAGTGTATGCCGAAACACCGAATATTACTTTATGCTTTAACTCAAAGTGTTTGTAATTAAATTAGTTACTTTGTTTTGTAAAAAGTTTTACTTCTAACATTTTAACCATATCATGTTTAATAAATAAATATTAGAGATAAAAATCAAACTATTAATAATATTGTGGATATCATAGAATCTCCTTGAATGAAATACCGAACTGTAGACAAGAAATATGTTTACCTTTGGGAAGATTATCATCATTATCGTAGGATGCGGAAGGTGACGGTGAGTTCCTGTAAGCTGGAAATCTATCCCACTCGTATCTGATTGGTCCCTCAGCTGTTCGAAGCGCCATTTTGATCCTCCTGTTGTAATAGCCTATTTTGGACAGTTGGAGTTATGTCAGTGACACCTATAACAAAAAAATCTCTAGATTAATCTTAAGAATTGGCATACGGAATTAAGCAGAAGACAGACAAAGAAAAAAAGTATTTTTAAAAATACTAATTGTCACTGGATAAAGTGATGCGACAGTGAATATTAATATTACACATGATAATTAAAAAGATGAGCAGAAATTATTTGCTGGTCGAGTAAGTTTTGACCCAGTAATTTTTACTTAACCACACATTTTCTTGTTTTGTGTGTTTATGTTTCTGTTTTTGGCTGTGAAAGCCATTCAAAAATATTCGGAGCAAAGTACACCCAATGAAAACAAGAAGTACAATGGTTTCTAGGTATGCCGCTTTTAATATAAAGGGCTATACGGGTTTTCTAGATCCGTATCTCAGTGCTCCACGAAAGTAAGTCAACGCGAAGATATTTAAATAGCAAAGTTAAAAGTTAGTCATCTTTTTACATTTTCCTATTTGCACTATACAAAGTGTTTCAAAATACATAAACCAACGCTCGACTTATCTAAAAAGAGTTCATGTAAGGGAAATGTTTAGATTTCAAGAAAAGCGGGTTAAATATTTTAGCAAAAGCCTATTTAACGATACACGAGGTTTGCACAATAGTATATTGTGTGGTAAACGGTTTAAAAAGATTACTATCTCCAAATACTTCCCATTACTCCCAAACCCCGTTGGGTAATATCCCGGAAATGTCCGAAGTAGCTCGGATCAGTGGGAAAGGAAACTGTTGTGGTAAAATGACACTTTCCGCACGCTAGATCGGTGTATAATTAGGTATTTTACAGACGGGAATAGAAAAATATTTTTGGACGATTTGGTTAAAATTTGGCAACGTAATCTAAGAGCAAATTTTGGTTTAACTAAATCAAAATTATGAATTCCAGTGCCGTCCCGGAAGGTGTTCTAACTAATAGTGTTTCTTTGAATAAGCCACTAAAAGTACAAGTTTTTTGGCTCTTTGTTTATAGTTGTTTTCGTATTTTGCCTCGTTTTCGAACTCAAAAAAAATTATTTTAAGAATATTTTATTTTTGAACCTTTTGATCACAGTAAACTTAGCTTTACAAAATTGACACCAAAGCAAATATTGCAACAAAAGAATTAAGGCTAATTGTAACCTATTTTTGGAAATTCGACGCAATGCGCTTTTCAAAGATTTTAAAGAAGACCATGAGAGGGCTCGGAAGGAAAAAATTGTCTTGACTATGAAACATCAAACAGTCCACTGGACTACACGGAATAAATTGAGCACCCTGTACAATAGGTGAAAATATTAAATACAAAAGTTTTAGCTGTTTATGCGAGCTTTCTTGACATGTAAAACAAGCTGACATCTGAAACTCAGCCTTATACTTGTCGCCAATTACCATTATAAGGGGACCCCAATTTTCAGTTTTTTGCGAATACCGCCCACACCCTGTACATTTTTGAAAATTATGAAGAATAGGGGCCTATAGCACTTAATATCATCGATATTTTCGTTCAAGAATTTTTTCGATTGCATGAACGGTTTTCGATAAACGACTTTTTCCTTGGAAACGCGATTTTTAATTTTTTTAAAATACTTCCTGACCCCCCCAGCCCCCCAGTTTCAATAGGTTAACGGGGTTAAAGTGTGCCATATTTGAAATCGATAGCTTCAAATTTCGGACACTTATCGTGTTTCATAGTGGCGTCCAAAAATACAGTCGAAAATGGTAAAAAAAAAAAATGCCCGCCGAGGTGTGACGTTTTGACATATCTTGTGCACCCCATAGACTGTTGAAAAGGAGCAAATTTTGGAGCGTCTTGCTTAAACCGTTCGGAAGTTATCCTCGGAAATGTCCACCCACAGAGAACCGAGTACGGACAGATTTCATAGATTTTGCGAAAGCAATTAAACCCTATAGCGTCAGGACTGTGTCACAAGCCATGTTTTTTGTAATATTGAACACCCTGTATATACAGATTCCCATAATTTCGATTACTACTTTTTACTTTTATTCTTATTTTAATTTTTTATTCTTATCTGCGTACATTAAACCCAGTGTAAATTGTAATTACATTTCTGATTACAAAAAAAAATCCGCGACGTCGCCACTTCGTTATCCGTAAAAGGTCGACGGGTGGTATATTTATAGTGTGCTAAAAACGGTTTAAGGAAACCGTTATAGGTCTCCCACAGGGTACGGCAAAGAGCTTTGCCGCCACATGTGTCTTTTGTTGGAACACGCCCCGATTCGGCAGATCAGGATGCGACAAAAAAATATTCCCTATCGGGGCGTAACAGAACTTGACGTCCGTTATCGGATACTGATTACGAGTTAATGGTTTTTATGGTGTTTTGAGGTCGGGTTACGAGCAGAAGTGCGCGTGTGTGTTCGGAAACACGTTGTATTATCACGGTTTTCCAAATGGTACGAAGTACCGTTTCCGTGTTCTTTCGAAACAGTTTGGGCCAGAATTTAAAATGTCGGAATAAAACACGTGGCTAAAATCTTGAAAAAAATCTATGTTTTTTCAAATATCTACGCAAAATGCCAAATTTTACCCTACACGAAAAACAAAATTCTAAAAATGCATCTAAGCCTTTCTAAATTTGATATATCATTGACTTTCCTATATTATTACACAAATTGCACATATTTTTTAATCCTCCATCCAGGTATCTCTTAATTACTATTTTTAATTGCATTCTATAAGTCACAGTTTCCTTTCGGAATTGCAATAAACTTAATTCGGGTGTAAAATTTGTATAAAACTGATCAAATAATATTTTTTTTAATATTTCCTTTTATAAGCAATGTCAATTTTGACGGGTAAACGCTGATGTTGAATTGATTTATTTATTATTTTTGATACACAAATTATCCCCGAGATTAAAACTTGCCAAAACTGATTAACGAAATAGTTTCCCTTATGATACGGACTTTAATGGTGGCACAACTGATGATTTTGGTCCAGAATGAACATAATTAAAATACAAATTTTGTAAAAGGAAATAGTGAAAATGTATAATAATATTAAATAAATTTAAGTTAATAGGTACCGTTTTTTTATTCGTTCAGTAGTTTCCCACGGATCCGAGCCACTTCGGACATTTCCGGGATTTTACCGCACGGGATTGGGAGCAGTCGGATGTTTTCGGAGATATTTCCAACTCCTTGAATTTTGACGTTTCTCAATTCTAACGGTCATGTCAGTGAATGTATTCGAGTTATTTTTGCCAAAATGTACTAACGGTCGTAGAAAAAGTATAGTATCCAACACGTTCGGTAAACTTTTTAACTCACTCGCTCCGCTCGTGTCAAATAAACTCGTGAGTCAAATGCCGTTTACCGCACTTGTTGCATAATATACTATTACCGGTTTCTTCTCATAAGGTACTAAGTTCTGACAGATTTTAATGTGTCAGTTTCTCATATGGGTGATTATACTATGCAGTAGTATGCTATACAACAAGTGCGGTAAACGGCATTTGACTCACGAGTTTATTTGAAACGAGCGGAGCGAATGTTTAATAAACGAGTGAGTTAAAAAGTTTACCAAACGTGTTGCATACTATACTTTTTCTACGACCGTTAGTTTTTGGGTACATTTTCGTAAAACAACACGAATACATTTACTGACATGACCGTCAGAATTGACAAACGTCAAAAATCAAAGCGTGGGAAATATCTCCGAAAACATCCGATTGCGGTAAAATCCCGGAATTGTCCGAACTGGCTCGGATTCGTGGGAAAGGAAACTGACGTGGTAAAGTGACGCTTCCCGTACGCTAGATCGGTGGGCAATTAGGTATTTTACAGACGGGAGTAGAAAAAAACTATTACTCAAGGTTATTTTTTATATTAATATTGTTTAAATAATAGTTTTTATTAAGATTACATAGGCGAAATCTGACCTTGAAGCCACTGACATTTAACCTACCACGCCATCTACATATTTCAAATAGAAGAAAGCACGAAACATCAAAGAGGAACCTTATAACATAAATTTGATTTTTACAATCTAGTTATTACGTTAACGTTTTTAACTAAAAGCTAAAAGTTTTAACAAAAAAACATCGAAATTTTACGGTTCTATACAACGGCGTAGTGAGCGTGGCTCAGTGTCTCAGGTGCAGGTCATGAATTGATTTCCTAAATACTAATTTGTCATCCAAATATTTAGGAATGCTGGAATTTATCACAGGTTTCAAAGTGCATAAAATGTTTTGTTGATTTTTTTTGTTTTTAACCAATTTAATTTTATGAATACTCCGGATATATGGTCAAATTTTTATAAGTTAGAAGTAAAACGGCAAAAAGTATTCTGAATTTTCTGTAGCCGATAAGAGGTCACAGTGTCTAAACAAGGCAGTAAGACAAACGCGAGAGAACAAGACTACTACATAATTGTATTTTCTTGTCATACGACAATACATCAATATAGCATTTTCAAACTCATATAACACTGACGTGGGCGATATGATCCAAAATTCTTCATATTCTCATCAAAGGTGACTTTTGTAGGGCCGGCCACATAAATTTTTTTGGCTATGTTGGTGCACATGTCCCTAACATGTGTTCACAGGTTCATCCAGTTTGCACGTTTACTTTTTTTATGAGACAGAAACGCTATACATGTTTTGTGTGCTCGGCGATTTTCTGCTATCAAAAAAAAACAGGAACAAAAAATTTGCATAAAATTTTGTGTAAAAAATGGAATACGGTGTTGCAAAACACATGAAATGTTAACAGCCGCATATGGTAAGTCTACTTTGAGCAAAAGATGGCTGAGAAGACGCCTATCATGAACGTAGCTCTGGACGCCCCAGCACGTCAACAAGTGATGAAAGCGTCGAAATGAAACAAATGGAGTTAAAAAATCGTTGAATCACTATTAGAGAAATGGCTAAAAACGCCGACATCTCTATTGGCTAGTTGCAATTTTTTCCGAAGTTTTGGGCACGGAACGTGTAGCAGCAAAATTTGTTCCGACACTGTTTAATTTTGAAAAAAAGGACCGTCGAAGGG